ACTCCCTAAAAAATAGAATTGGCCAAACGAGAAAAGGAAGTACAAAAGTTCACTAGAGAAAATAATTCCTTAAAAATTGCAGTTGAACAAGTGGAAACTAATGCGTCACCAGGATACGTGATGGAAACTAATGCAACATCTATGTGACATCAGGATATGATAAAACAAAATTTTAAAAAGTAAAAAAACAAATGTGAAATTTATCATTGGAAAAACAGCTAACCTAGAAAATAAACCAAAGAGAAATAATGTAAAAATTATTGGACTACCTGAAAGCCGTGGTTTAAAAAAAAAAAAAAAAAAAAAAGCCTGGACATCTTTCAAGAAATTATCATAGAAAACTGCCCTGATATATTAGAACCAGAAGGCAAAATAGAGATTAAAAGAATCCACCAATTGCTGCCTGAAAGCAATCCCAAAATGAAAACACCCATGAACATCATAGCCAAATTCCAGAGCTCACAGATCAAGGAGAAAGTATTACAAGCAGCCAAAAAGAAACAATTCAAATATTATGGAGCTACAATCAGGATTACACAAGATCTGACAGCTTCCACATTAAAGAACCAGAGGACTTGGAATATGATTTATACCGGAAGGTAAAGGAGTTAGGATTACAACCAAGGTTTACCTCCCCAGCAAAACTGAATATAATATTTCAGGGAAAGAAACAGATATTTAATGAAATAGGAGACTTTCAAACACTTCTAATTAAAAGACCAGAGTGAAAAAATTTGATCTCCAAATATAAGACTCAATCAAGGGAAACATAAACAGGTAGAAAAGAAACAAGAAAGAGAAAAATAAGAAATTTAATAAGGCTAAACTGTTTATATTTCTATATGGCAAGAAAATATAAGTAATAAAGTTAAGAGCTACAAATAAGAGCAATTAGAAGGAGTATACAGAGACAGAAAGTGTGGCTATAAGGTGACTTTGATATGATTATACCCCCAAAAAAATCAAAATAAAGGGGTGAGAAAGAAAATCACATTGGAAGAAGAAGGAGAGGAGAGATTGAATGGGGATAAATCATCCTACATAAAAGAAGTATGAAAGAGCTATTATAATGGAGGGGAAGATGGGGGGGTGGCAGGCAAAATTTAAATCTTACTCTCATCAAAAGTAATTCAGAGAGGGAATAACATACACACTCAGTTGGTTATAGAAATCTGTCTTAACTTATAAGGAAGTAATAAGGGAGAGGGATCATAGAAGGGGGAGGGGGAACTAGTAAAAGGGAGGGTATATTGGGGAAGGCAGTGATCAGAAGTAAAACACTTAGGAGGAGGAAAAGGGTGGGGGGTAAGAGACAGCGGGATAAACAGGTGAAAAATAGCATGGAGGGAAATACACAGTTATAACTATGAACATGAATGGAATGAACTCTCATAAAATAGAAGTGGATAGTAGAATGGATTAAAATATGTTGTTTACAAGAAACACACTACAATATGTTGTTTACAAGAAACACATTTGAACCAGAGAGATAGACACAGGGTAAAGTAAGGGACTAGAGCAGGATCTATTGTGTTTCAGCCAAAGCAAAGAAAGCAGGGGTAGCAACCATGATCTCAGACAAAGCAAAAGCAAAAATAGATGTAATTAAAAGAGTTAAAGAAGGAAACAATATCTTACTGAAAGGTACCATAGACAATGAAGTCATATCAATATTAAATATATATGCATCAAATGGCATAGCATCTAAATTTTTGAAGAAGTTGAATGAGTTACATGAGGAAATAAGTAATAAAACTATACTAGTGGAGGACCTCAACTTTCTCCTCTCACAACTAGATAAATATAACCAAAAATTAAACAAGAAAGAAGTTACAGAGGTGAATAAAATTCTAGAAAACTTAGATATGATAGATCTCTGGAGAAAATTGAATGGGAATAGAAAGGAATATATGTTTTTCTTAGCAGTGCATGGCACTTACACAAAAATTGACCATGTATTAGAATATAAAAACCTTACAACCAAATTCAGAAAAGCAAAAAAAGTAAACACATACTTTTCAAATCATAAGGCAATAAAAATGATATTAAAAAGTAAACAATGGAAACAGAGATTAAAAATTAATTGGACATTTAAAAAAATCTAATCCTAAAAAACAAATGGGCAAAGGACAAATCACAGAAACAATTGATAATTTCATTAAAAAATGACAACAATGAGACAACATACCAAAATTTATGGGATGCAGCCAAAGTGGTACTTAGGGGAAAATCTATATCTCTAATTGCTTACATCAATAAAATAGAGAAAAAGCAGATTAATGAATTGGGCATGAAACTAAAAAAAAAAAACTAGAAAAAGAACAAATTAAAAATCCCTAATTAAACACCAAATTGGAAATCTAGAAAATCAAAAGAGTGATTAGTAAAGTTGAAAGTAAGAAAACCATTGAACTAATAGTAACAGAAGCTACTTTTATGGAAAAAACCAATAAAATAGATAAACCATTTGGTTGATTTGATTAAAAAAAGGAAGGAAGAAAACCAAATTACTAGTATCAAAAATTAAATGGGTGAATTCACCACCAATGAAGTGGAAATTAAGACAATTGTTAGAAGCTATTTGGCTCAATTATACGTCAATAAATTTGACAATCTAAATGAAATTAATTAATATCTATGGAAATATAAATTACCCAGATTAACAGAAGAAATAAAATACTTGAATACAACCCCCAGTCTTAGAAAAAGTAATTAAACAAGCTATCAATGAACTTCCTAAGAAAAAATCCCCAGTATCAGATGGATTCATAAGCAAATTCTGCTAAACATTTAAAGAGCTGTTAATTTCAATACTATATAAAGTGTTTGGAAAAATAGGCTAAGAAGGAGTCCTACCAAATTCCTCTTATGATACAAATATGGTGCGGATACCCAAACCAGAGAAAAAAAAATTATAAACTATTTTCCCTAATACTGATACAAACATTTTAAATAAAATAACTAGCAAAGAGTTAAAAATAACTAGCAATGTATCACAAGGATCATACACTATGGCCAGATGGGACTTATACCAGGCATGCAGTACTGGTTTAATATTGCGAAAAGTATCAGCATAATTGACTGTTTCAGTAACAAAACTAACCAAAATCATGTGATTATATCAATAGATGCAGAAAAAACCTTTGAAAAAACACAACAACCATTTTTCTTAAAAACACTAGAGAACATAGGAGTAAATGGAGCTTACCTTAACATGATAAGTAATTTTTATCTAAAACCATCAGCAAGCATTATCTGTAATCAGAATTAGCTAGGAACCTTCCCTATACAATCAGGGGGTGAAGCAAGGATGTCCATTATCACCTCTATTATTTAATATTGTATTGGAAATGTTAGCTATAGTTAAAAGAGAAGAAAAAGAAATTAAAGGAATTGGAATAGGCAATGAGGAAATAAAACAATGACTCTTTGCAGATGATGCAATGTTATACTTAGAAAATCCTAGAGAATCAATGTGTACAAACAGTTGAAATGTTCCTAGTCACCAGTACTGTCCCAGGCTTTCTCCTTGTGTGTGTGTGTGTGTGTGTGTGTGTGTGTGTGTGTGTGTGTGTGTGTAGACAAAGTAGCTTGTACAAACAGTTGAAATGTTCTCAGTCAGCAGTACTCTCTCAGGCTTTCTGTGTGTGTGTGGCGGGGAGTGGGGTGGGGGGGCTACACAATAAGAGACAAGGACCTCTAATGTTAACATTGGCTTACATACAGTGCTGTTGGGTAGGGAACTCTGCTGCGAAGTATTATATAATGCATTCCAAAGATAAACCATTTGGATATGAAACACACCCCTACCTTTACTCCCATAGTGCAGGTAAATAACGGGTGACGGGATAGTATCTTCTTGTCAGTCTGAAGCATAAAGCTTTGGGGAAAATAGACTAATAAACCTGGGGAATAAAATGATATTTTTATCAGAAGGCATCTTTAATTCTAGGAATTGAGCAGGTCCTTTGAGTTTCACATGACTTTAAATAAGCCGATATTGGAAAAATGATATTGAACATTAATAATAATGATAATAGTAATAGCAGTAACTGGCATTAATATAGTGCTTTAAGGTTTGAAAGGTACTTTACATACATTATCTCATCTTACAACAACACTGTGAAAAAAGTTCTACAGATATTATTGCATTTTTACAGATGAATATACTGAGGCTGGCAGCTTAAATGACAGCTTCAACTTCAACTTCTCCTTAAATGAAGGAGTTGGTGTCTGTAGTGGGATTTAAACTCAGATCTTCCTGCCTCCAAGTTCAGCACTCCATCCACTATGTTATAATGTTCCAGTGTTTATACTTGGGTCCCATCTGTGTAGCCTGGTATGGTAGAAAGGGATTTGGCTCATCTATCTTAGCTATATATGAGGCTTACTCTGAGCCTCAGTTTCTTCATCTATAAAACAGGGTGCTCTCTGAAATTCTGAATTGCAGAGCTGGTGCTGACCCACACTGGAAGAGGGAATTCCTTACCAAAATCTCCATACACAAATAAAATAAGAAGTCTCGTCCCTAAATCAACAAACCATGTCTCAAAGGCTCAGTTTCCTTATCTGTAAAGTGAGAATAATAATACTTGTACTATCTATATCCTGGGTTTTTTTTGTGAGGAAAGTGCTGTATAAACCTTAAAGCGCAATATATAATGTTCAACTATTATTTAATATTTTTGTATTGTCATGGGGAATTGCTTTACCTTTGCATGTCCTTTTCCATGTGGATGGCAGTTTCACTAGGAGATGGTTTGAATTCAGGCTAAACAAGCCTGGCAATTTAGTAAGAGTCTTAGGCGGATGTGATTCCAGCTGTGAATGACTTCAACTCATCAGCACCATTGTCCTTCCTTTTGGTATTGTTCTTCTTTGATATTTTTGCCCAAAATAATTTCTTTAAAGCAAAGAAAAGTAATACTGAAATACACATAAGCAATTAATCCTTTTTTTATTTTAAAAATATTTGTAAGACACAGCTTTTGTGATTTTAGGGAACTGAGGAATAAAGCATCTGTTCAACAAAGATGAACTACTGAAGGCCTCCCTGTCTCTGTCACATGCTCGTTCAGTGCTCATCACCACTGGGTTCCCTACCCATTTCACTCATGACCCACCTGAAGAGACTGATGGTCCCCCAGGAGCCATCGCAGTGGCTGCCATTTTGCAAGCTTTAGAAAAGGAGGTTGCCATTGTTGTTGATGAGAGAGCCATGAGCTTGCACAGAAAGATTATTGAAGACTCAGTCAATCAGGGTAAGTTGAACCAAATGAGACTCATGTGGGCATGGATTAGATACTTTTTCTGTATGGTATTTTGACCACTTTCAGCTCCCTAGGATAGCCTTAGGCTGTGGAGAAGGCCTGAATTCAATTTTATTCAAAACCACAAGCATTATTAAGTGGCTACTCATTGCTAGACAAGAGGTGTGTGTACCCACCTCCCACCTCTCCCCTTTTTGTGGGTTGTTATTGTTTGGTCCTTTGGTCCTGTCTGATTCTTCATGACCCTATGGACCATAGCATGCTAATGCTGTCAGTGGGGTCATGAAGAGTTGGACAAGACTGAAAGATATTGGAGTGGTTTGCCATTTCCTTCTCCAGTTCTCTTTACAGATGATGAAATAAGGTTAAGTGACTTGCCTAGGGTCACACAGCTAGTAAATATCTGAGGCTAGATTTGAACTCAGGTCTTCTTGACTCCAGGCCCAGTGCTCTATCCACTGAGACATCTGGCTGCCTCTTTTGTGGGTAGCAACGCTCTTCTAGAGTCAGAGCAGGAATGTTTATCAACTTATTAAAGGATCTAGAAATAGGTAAATATGTTGTGATGTCAGCTTGAAGTCACTACCCATCTCTACATCATTACCTCCCGATTCCCAGTGGTGTTTAGAGGAGGAGAATAGGTATTCTAATCTGCATCTCACAGCCTGCTCCTTTAGACCTTCTCACCCCAACAAATTACACTCTCAGAGAAGCATTTAGGCTTTTACTCTTATAATAAGAGGGCCTGAGTCCCAGAAAGTCATTAGTTTAAAATCATAAAATCACAGCGACTCTAGAGAGGCAACATAGGCACGTAGGTTTATAATATAAAACATAGGAACACAGAGCTGGAAGGAACTTAAGAGGCCATGGAACCCAACCTTTTCATTTTACAGATGAAGAAACTGAGGGAGACAGAGGTTCAGTGACTTGTTTACAGTCATACAGCTAGTAGCTGCCCGAGGTGGGATTTGACCTCAGATCTCCCTGGCTTATGCTGGTGGTACCACTGACTCAACATCAAGGCCAATCACTTTACTACTTTGGGCCTCAGTTGCCTTCTCTGTAAAATCATTTGATCTTAATAGTCTCTTCCATATTTGAAGTGTGGTGACTCTATATCCTATTAGGCTTATAGTTTTAGCAAGTAAACACAATGATTTTGACTTCAGTTCTTACAGCTGCTTTGATCGTTTTTTTGCTGACCATGTTCCTAGAGTCACCTTGATTCTCCCTACTCATTCAATCTCCTCAAATCTCAAGCTGTGCACTCCCACTGTACATAAATTCTGATCCCCATCTGGCTCAGCCTATGACTTGAATGGATGATTTGATACAGTGGATTTTGGAAAGCTTTCATTAAATTTGGAAGAAAAAGTTGAAGACCAGTGGAAATTTTTCCAACCCTACCTGTGATTTGAATGTAAATAATTTTCAATTATCTGGGGAAAACCTAAGATCGTGCAGTACTGCTAAGCAGAAATTCCTTGGACGACAATGGGGACATTCATCCACTTATTATAATGCCTACATCTCACTTATGATAAATTTATGGTTGGTGATATAATCTGGATCTTCATCACTGCTCTGTAATTCTCTACTCTTATTGACTCTGTCACTCATTTCCCATAATTCTTCTTCTCATTGTCTGAAGTATCCCTTCACCCTCAAGCCTAATGTTATAGCCTCCTTAATTGAGAAAATTGAGGCCATCCTAGGAGAACTCCCTCAGCATTTCTCAGCATCACCATCTATCCTGTCTCAGAGGAAGAAGCAGGCCTACTCCTTGCTGTGGTTATCTGCATCCTTGATCCATCTCCTGCTTTCCTGAGGACCTTGCAACTGTCTCCTCACTTGCATTTATTTTGATTTTCTCCCTTTTCATTGCTTGCTTCTTCTTCTGGGCCTAGCCTAGATCATACTAGTTCACACAGGTATGAAATTAGAGTGCCATGAAATACTCATGGGCCATAATATTCAGTAAGAATAAATTTATTTACAATATAAGGTTTACAATATATTTACTTATATTTACAATATAAGTAATAATGATTACTAACTAACTCAAATGGACGATTTTCTTCTGTGCCTCTACATTTGCCACAGGAGTGTTGGGTTGGAAAGACATCCCATAGGGCTGTGAGAATTCCATTATACCACCACATGCCAAATCGTCATGAGGAAGCCATGCCAATGGTCTCCTGGACCAATGAAACCCCAAGGTTGGCCTCATTGGCCCCATAAAGAAAAACCAGCCCAACCTATGTAAAAGAGATGCTGCCAGTACCTCTCCTACCATGCTCCCCGTCTGTCCTCAAATATGCTCAGGTTCTCCTTAGACCTAAAAAAAAAAAAAAAAAAAAAAAATCTGTCCCTTGAGTCTTGACCATCCAGGTACCATTCCATCTCTCTCCTCTCTTTCATTACTAACCTTCTTGAAAAAGTGACCTACACTTGATGCCTTTCCTTCTTCATCTCTTCTCAACCCCTTGTAATGGTGTTTTTCTTGTCACCATTCAATGGAAATTACTCTTTTAAAGGTCAGCAATGACCTTCCAATAAACAAATAATAGAATTTTAGAACTGGAAGGAAAATCACAGAACATTAAATCCATCCTCTCCCATGTTACCAGTGAGGAAAATGAGGCCCAGAACAGGAAAATGGTCTTATTTCAGTTCTCATCCATTTGACATCTCTAAAGCATTTGATATTGTTGACCACTTCCTCTTAATGGAAGCACATTAATGGGGCTCTTCTCCTTTGACTTCAGAAATACCATATTCCTGGTTCTCTAATTGCTGCTCTAATCATCTGTTCCCTGTGACTCTTTGTCCTCTTTCCATTCTCTTTAAAATGGGTATTTCCTAAGGTTATGTCTTTGAACTATTCTCTTTTTATTCTTTGTTCTTGACAATCTCTGGGGCTTCAATGATGACTTATATGCCAATAATTCACAAATATACGTGTGTGTGTGTATATATATACACACACACACACACACACAACACAACACAGAATACATACACATACATGCATGTATCTATATGTGTATATATGTATACATATATGTATATTAAAAGAGGGGAAGGAAGAGGGAAGGAGGGAGAGAAATCACTAGGTGGTACAGTGCTGAACATAGAGTCAGGAAGACCCGAGTTAAAATCTGACCTCAAACACTTATTAATTACATGGTCCTGGGCAAGTCCCTTAATATTTCTCAGTCTCAGTTTCTTCTTCTGTAAAATGAGGATAATAATAGTACCCATCTCCTTGGGTTGTTATGAGGATAAAATGAGATAATATTTATTTGTAAATGAATTTGCAACCTCAAAGCACTCTATAAATGCTAGATATTATTGTTGTTATAATTATCCTCTATGTGTCTAGTCTCCAGAGTTCTACTCCCATATTTTCAATTGCCTATAGAATATCTGCACTTGAATGCCTCACTGAAACCTCAAACTGAGCATGCTCCAAACCAAAGTTACCATCTTGCCCTCTCAACCTGCTTCTCCTGATTTCATCATTCCAATCATTATTATTACTACCATTCATTTAAGTCTTCAAAATCTTTATGTTATTTTTTGGTGCTTCTTTTCCCTCTCATCTCAAACCAGTTTCCAAGTCCTATCAACTTTACCTTTATAATTTCTCTGGGATCTCTGCTTCCTCTCTATTCCTCCTGCTCCCACCCTAGTGTAGGCCCTTACTACTGCACTCTTGTGCTATTGCAATAATTTCCTAATGGGTCTTCCCATGCCCCTTCCAAACCATCCTTTACTCTGCTGTCAGATTAATCTTCCTTATTTAATTACCAGGGAGTGCTACTGGCCAAGCGCCTGATCCTTTTCAGTGGTATGGGCCAAGTGTTGGTGCTCCAGCCCAAACCAGAAGGTACTCAGAGGTAACACTATGTTCTCTATGATCTTGAGAGACCTACCTCTGTTTCCCAGCACTGCCCTTTTTGTGGGTGGCAACACTCATCTGGTGAGTCTTAAAGAGTGGTATGTGTGGATTTATGCAATTGACTCTTTAGTCTTGTGGTATCTACACCCCCCCTGGGAAATTCCACTAGCTTTGCTTCCCTGCTGTGATTTAGAACTTTAAACACAAAAGTATGCATAATGAAATTGATCATGTAATCACAGCTTAACTGTATATAGTTCTTTACACTTAATCATAGAAAAGCAGGAAAATAATCAATTACTATATGCACTGGGTTCCCACAGCTTGCAGAATTTCTAGTCTCTAGGCAAGCCCTTCTACCTAAAGGGGAGAAAAACAATTTACTCTGTGTTTTAATGGCTATCATGTATAGTGCTTTCAGGTTTGCATAGTATTTTTCATATCTTATTTGATCCACACAACTACCCTGTGAGCTAAGTGCTATTATTAAACTTATTTTAGAGATGAAGAAACAGAGGCTGAAGGAGGTCAAGTTACTTATCCAAGGTCACACAGCTAATTAATATTTTGGAGGCAGGATTCAAATTCAGGTCTTTCTGGGTCCAAGTCTGTCACCCTATTCACTGGGGTGCCTAACTGCCTCTTAACTAGAATCTGCCAGAGATATAACTTATTAATAGATAAACATTCTTTCCGAGACAGAAATTCAACAGAATTCCTCTTGCTGATTAGGAAAGCCCTCTGATGCAAGCAATTTCTAACATAATTTTTTAGTAATAACGAAATGCAAGATTAAGAAATTCCCCAAAGATGTACAAATTCAATAGCAATGAAGAAAAGAAGAATGTAGGTTTCAGTTAGAGTCTTTGAATTATTCACCAAAATGAACAGTAATAATATTAATGTTGGTACTCATCCCTGTGGGGTAGTTCTATCTTCTTGGAAAACTAAGAATTTACTCTCTTAATCTGGTCAAAGGCATATCCCACTCTTGAGTTGGTCTATGATAAATAAGAGAAATTTCCCTCTATTGATCTACTCACCAGTTCTGAATTTTAGAAGTGAAGTGAATTAAGTATATTTCCTGTTTTGATTAGGTCTTTAATTCAAGAGACACTAAGAAGCAAAAAAAAGAAAAATAAAGACCGGGTCATGAAGATTGTAACAACATAAATTCCTTTTTTCAAACTTTTTTTTCCAATTAATAAGAATTTATTTTCTCTCCCTTCTCTCTCCTTCCTCTCTTCCCCTAATTTTTTCTACTTATTTATTTTAACCTTCATTTTTAAAAAAATTTGAGCTCCAAATTCTCTCCCTTCCTCCTACCCCTCCTCCACCCATTGAGGAGGTAAGAAATATATCAATTATACATGAAGTCATGTAAACATATTTCCATATTAGCTATGTTGAAAAAATACAACAAAATGAAACATGAAGAAAGTGAAAAAAGTATGCTTCAATCTTGACTCAGAGTTCATTAGTTCTCTCTGGAGATGGATAACATTTTTCATCATACGTCTCTTGGAATTGTCTTGGATCATTGTATTTATCTGAGTAGCTGTCTTTCACAGTTGATCACCTTTACAATATTGTTACTGTGTACAATGTTCTGGTTCTGCTCACTTTACTTTGCATCAATTCATATAAGTCTTCCCAGATTTTTCTGAAACCACCTGCCTCATTATTTCTTGTAGCACAATAGTATTTCCTCCCAATCAGATACCACAACTTATTCAGCCATTCCCCAATTGATGGGCATCCCCTCACAATTTCCAATTCTTTGCCACCACAAAAAGAGTTCCTATAAATATTTTCTGTAGATGTGTGTCCTTTTCCCTTTTCTTTGATACTTTGGGATACAGACCTAGTAGTGGTATTGCCGGATCAAAGGGTATGTACAGTTTTATACCCATTTGGGCATTCTTTCAAACTGTTCTCCAGAATGGTTGGACCAGTTCACAACTCCTCCACCAATGCATTAGGGAATCTATTTTTCCATATTCCTACCAGTATTTATAATTTTCCTTTTTACTTATGTTAGACTCTCTCATAGGTATAAGGTAGTACCACAGAGTTGCTTTAATGGGCATTTCTCTAATCAGTAGTGATTTAGAGCATTTTTTCATGTGACTATTAATAGCTTTGATTTCTTCTTCTGAAAACTACATGTTCATATCCTTTGACCATTTATCAATTGAGGAATGACTCTAATTTTTATAAATTTGACTCTCTGTGTATTTGAGAAATGAGACCTTTATCAGAGAAATTTGATGTTAAAATTTTTCCCCCAAAAGGACCGACGTGTACAAAAATATTTACAGCAGTTCTTTTTGGGGTGGCAAAGAATTGGAAATTGAGGGGATGCCCATCAATTGGGGAATGGCTGAACAGGTTGTGGTATAGGAATGTAATGGAATAATATTGTGCTATAAGAAATGATGAGCAGGCAGATTTCAGAAAAACCTGGAAAGACTTACATGGACTGATGCTGAATGAAGTGATAAGAACCAGGAGAACATTGTACACTGTAACAGCAACATTGTGCTATGACTATCTTTGATAGATTTAGCTCTTCTCAGCAATGCAACATTTTACAGATGAGGAAACTGAGGCAGACAGAGGTTAAGTGACTTGTCCAGCATCACACAGTTAGTAAGTGTCTGAGGCAGGATTTCAATGCAGGTCTTCCTGACAGCCCTCTATCCACTGAGTCACCGAGCTGCCTCTAATTATTACTTTGTGCTTTCATTCAAATGATTACCTATACCTAGAATGACCTCTGAAAGGGATTGGCAAGGTTTGAAGTTCAGGCTGCAAAAATCAAAGATTCCAGCTAAACAAAAGAATGATTATTAACTTCTGTGGCTCTATAAGGTGGTGAGTGGATCATTCCTATCCATCCTTTTAACTGAAGCCTTTCTTAATTTCCCTAGTTATAGATGACTGTTCTTACTCTGACCTCTGACATTTCTAGGACTTCCTTGATGCATTTATCATGTTAGTGGTTATTTGCATACATACCATATATCCCTAACAGTGTGTAAGCTCCATGAGCAAAGAGATAATGTCTTAGCTAAATTTTGTATATGATCTAGTATTTACTACAACTTTACCTGCAATAGATACTTGATAAATGTTTTTTTGAATTAAATTGTATTGAAACAACATGGGATTTCAAAAAGACCTTTAAAAAGTCCAACAGCAATATAGCACCAAAGTCATTCTTATTTTGAGTCATACCACAAACAAAAACCTTTCTTTGAAACTCAGGACCATACTTTGTATTCCCTACAAAGCATTAATAAATCCTTCTTGATGGACTTCACTTGATTTGACAAAGCTTTATGGAAAGGGTCAACCCAAGGTCTGAATTTTGGCTTTGTAAAGGTCCTTCCTGTTATGCTCATTCTCCAAACTGCTGAAGATGTAGAGACAACATACTGTCTCCCCAATTCAATAGAGAAGAAATAGAAAAATATAGGAAGATATATTGTCTCCCCAATTCAATTCAACAAACGTTTGTTGACACTATACTGGACTCCTGGGGCAAGCAAAGGTGAATGAGACACACACTCCCTACTCTCAGGAGTTTACACTGTAGCAGAGAACATAAGATAAATTCACGAATATCTCTATACTTGAACTCTCTCTAGTCTTCCAGTCTCACATCTCCAACTAAGGTTACCTGCAGCATGATATGGTTGCACTTTGATCTGTCAAATTTAATATACTCCAACCCAAACTTAGTGTCTAGTAAAATACAGAAAGAGAAAAGTTGACTTACAAGCAAACAGGATAAAAGAGAAAGACTAGTTCTAGTTGGGGGTTTTGGAGTGGGACCAGAAAGACCTCATGGAAGAGAAGCAAGATGGATCTTGAACGACAGATAAGATTTCCATTGTTCAGAGATAATAAGGGGTTCTAAGTAGAAGGAATGGCATTAGCATGGCTGAGGTGCCTAAAACAACATTTATCATGATCAATGAAAGTGAATCTCCCTTATTTACCAGCCACAATCACAGTTACATCAGCCTACCTAACCACAGAGTGAAAGAAATCAACTTTCTTTTCCAATATGCCCTGCCTAAGTATTAGCTCACCTGGACTTATGTCTTACTTGTAAGCTGATGAATGTTTATTGATGATAATGGTAGTGATTTCTAAGATGGCACAGTGGATAGAACACTGGCCCCGGAGTCAGGAAGACCTGAGTTAGAATCTAGTGTTGGTCAATTCCTAGACCTGTGATCTTGGGCAAGCCACTTAATCTCCATTTATCTCAGTTTTCTCAACTGTAAAGTGAGGATCATAATAGCACCTAACTCACAAGGTTTTTGTGAGAATAAAATGAGATGATATTTGTAAAAACGCTAAGCACAGTGCCTGGCACATAGTAGGTGCTTCTTAAATGATTATTCCCTTCCCAAATGCAATTCTGGAAGATAGTCTCATCTGTTTTCTTTGTTTTAGGTGTTCTGAAGACCACAATACCTCTGTTAAGTTACCAAGGTCAGGAAATAGGATCAGCTTTCATGTTTTTGTGTAAGGATGGGGATCCCAATTCACCAAGGTATGTCTTATCCCATAGTATTACGTTGAAAAGCTCAGAGTTCTGTGACTATTTCCCCTAAGGTGAAATAACATTCTGTTTGCTCATTCATTCATTAAAAATTTTCATTCAAGTATTTGTTAAAAATCTATTATTTTATAAACCCAAGATCCAAGCTTTTAGGACAAAAACTCATTATTTAACAAAAACTACTGGGAAAACTGGAAAACATTATGACAGAAACTAGGTATAGATCACCATCTCACACAGTATACCAAGATAAGGTCAAAATGGGTATGTGATTTAGACATAAAGGGTGATACCATAAGCAAATTAGGAGAGCATGAAAGAGTTTACCCATAAAATCTATAGATAAGGGAATAATTTAGGAACAAACAAGATAGAGATACATTTTACATCATAAAATGTAAAATGGATAATTCTGATTATATAAAATTAAAAAGTTTTTGCACAAACAAAACCAATGTGACCAAAATTAGAAGGAAAGCAGAAAACTGGGGGGGGGGGGATTTTGCAACAAGTATCTGTAATAAGGGCCTCATTTCTCAAATATATATAAAGAACTAAGCAACATTTATAAGAATACAAGTCATTTCCCAATTGATAAATGGTCAAAGGATATGAACAGGCAATTTTCAGACAAAGAAATCAAAGCTATCCATAGTCATATAAAAATGCTCTAAATCACTATTGATTAGAGCAATGCAAATTAAAACAACTGTTAGGTATCACCTCACAACCATAAAATCGGCTAATAGGACAAAAAAGGAAAATTATAAATGTTGGAGGTCATGTGGGAAAACTGAGACACTAATGTACTGTTGGCAGAGTTGTGAACTGATCCAACTATTCTGGAGAGCAGTTTGGAATAATGCCCAAAAGTCTATAAAACTGCATACCAGTTAATCCAGCAATACCACAACTAGGTCTGTATCCCAAAGAGATTTTTGTTTTGTTTTGTTTTTTTGCTTTTTGGTGAGTTAATTGGGGTTAAGTGACTTGCCCAGGGTCACACAGCTAGTAAGTGTCAAGTGTCTGAGGCTTGTTTGAACTCAGATCCTCCTGAATCCAAGGCTGGAGCTCTATCCACTGCAGCACCTAGCTGCCCCTCCAAAGAGATTTTTAAAAAGGTAAAAGAACGTATTTATACAAAAATATTTATAGCAGCTCTTTTTTGTGGTGGCTAAGAATTGGAAATTGAGGAGATGCCCATCAATTAGGGAATGGCTAAACAAGCTATAATATACAAAATACTATTTTGCTATAAGAAATGACAAGCAGAGTGATTTTAGAAAAACTTGGAAAGACTCACATGAACTGATGCAAAGTTAAGTGAGAACCAGGAAAACATTGTACACAGTAACAGCAATATTGTACTAAGACAGTCCCAAAGGACTGGGATGAAAAATGTTCTCTGCCTCTAGAAAAAGAACTGATTTAATCTGAATGCAAATTGAAACATACTTTCTTCCTTCTTTTCAGTTTTCTTACACAAAATGACTAATATAGAAATGTTTCTCATGATTGCACACGTATAACCTATGTCAGATTGCTTACTGTCTCTTGGAGGCGGGGGAGAGAGGGAGAAAGAGAGGAAGGGATAGAATTTGGAGCTCAAAACTTAACCAATGAACATTAAAAATTGTTTTTACATGTAATTGGGGAAAAAAATAAAATATCTTAAAAAAAGCCCATTCAAGGCCTTATGCTAAGTGCGGAAGATAAAAGATAATGACAATATGGCCCCTACCCTCAAACAATTTACAACCTACTAGTGGGATAAAGAATAATCACATATGCCATATAATAATCATATACACACACACACACACATATGTATATATATATATATATATATATATATATATATATATATATATATATGTGACACAAGATAGCATGTGATGGGGCAAAGCAGTATCTAAACAAAACATTAAAAAAAACAGGAAGGATGATGTTTTCTTTCAGCTGGGAGGACAAAGGAAGGTTTTATGGAGGAGATATCTGAACTGGCCTTAAAGAAAGAAAAGCATTCTGACCAATATCAATGTGAAAGATGTGCTTTCTAGCTATGGAAATTAGCCTGTACTTGGTGTAAGGGCAAGAGCACATGGGATGATATTAGGGTGCATGAAGAGAAGGAGAGTGAAGTAAATCTGGAAGAGCTTATTGGATCCAGATTGCAGAGCATCTTAAGTGTCAGAGTAAGGAATCTGTATTCTCTTCTAGAGGCAATAGGCAGCCACTGGAGGTTTTTGAGCAGAGGAGCGACATGATCAGTCTTGTGCATTAGAATGATTGTTTTAGTAGCTGTGTGAAGGATGGACAGACAGGATACAGAGAGATCAGTTCAGAATATATTAAAATAGTCTAAGAAAGAGGATGTGAGGGCCTGAAGAATGGTGGTAGCGATATGACTGGAGAGGAGAATAGGGTATAAAAGATAATAGGGAGGTAAAATTGTCACGAGGGGCAGCTAAGTGGCTCAGTGGAGAGATCACTGGGCTTGGAGTCAAGAAGACTCATCTTCATGAGTTCAAATCCAGCCTCAGACCCTTACTAGCTGTGTGACCTTGAGCAAGTCACTTAACCCTATTTGCCTCAGTTTCCTCCTCTATAAAATGAGCTGGAGAAGGAAATGGCAAACCACTCCAGTATTTTTGCCAAGAAAACCCCAAATGGGGTTGTGGAGAGCTGGACACAACACAACAGAAACCAAATTGACCAGACTGATCAATGATTGAATAAAAATTTTTCTGAAAGATTCAGCTTAGGTACTACTTTCTCCATGAATTCTTTCCTCATATCTCCAGTTTTTAGTGTTCTTTCCCATCTCAAATTTTCCTAGATCATTTATCTGATCTCTCCTTTACCTCTTTCTTTTTTTTTCCCCTGTGTAATATTTATCTGGGTTCATGTAAAAAAATTGGAAAATTTCCAATTTCAAAAGAAATTGAAGTCAAGGCAGGTTTAGGGAAAAAGATGATAGATTCAGTTCTGGATAAATTGAATGTGAAGTGCCTTGCAGCACATCTAGGTGAGAATGTATAGCAGACAGTTGGGAACGTGGGGCTGGAACTCAGGGGAGAGATTGGGAGTGAATATAAACATATGGGAAAGTGATAACCCAAACCTATGCAAACTGATGAAATCACCAAAGGAGAGAGTATAAGGAGAAAAGAGAAGACAGAGCCTGATGAGCAGCTACACTTAAAGGGTAGGAGAAAGAATATGACCCAGTAAGAGGTAGGAAGAGAAACAGGAAAGGCTCTGGAGGCCAGAGTATCAAGAAAGGGGAGGCAGATTCAGAAAAGGTGACAGAGAAGGCATGTCAGACATATTGGAGAAGAACCAGAAAAGATTACTGTCCGGATAGAGGAAGAAGTTGGTCAACAGTATCAAGCTCTGTAAAGAAGTCAAGAAAGATGAAGACTAAGCAAAGGCCATCAAGTTGAGCCATTGATAAGCTTGGGGAGAACACTTTCAAATGGATGGTTGGGTAGATGCCAGATTTTTAGGATTTAAGAAAATAAGTAAAACTTGAAAAATTGGTGGTAACTGCAAGGAGCCAAGGACTTAGGCTATGACAGGGAGGAGAGCTATAGAACAATAGCTTGAGACAGCAGGATTAAGTAAACATTGGGATGTGAAGATCTAAGTATATTTATTAGCATCAGGGAAGGAACCAGTGTATAAAGAAAAAGAGATGATTAAATTCACGTCTTCCTCAGCTTGCCCTCAGAGTCCCATCTCTTTCCTCCAGATGAGGCTCAAGCACCATTTTCTGTATGAAGTCTTTCCTGATCCCCCCAAATACTAGAGTCCCCTCTCCCAAGCTATCTTGTATTTATCTTTATTTGTACTTAGACTATTTATATTTATTCTGCATGTACTTACATATGTCCTTGTCTTCTCCATTAGAACGTGAGCTCCTGTTGAGTAGAGAGGGTTTCGTTCTCTATATTTCCAGTGCGTAGCACATGGTAGGTGGTTTATAAGTAAATGCTTCTTGATTGATTGAATATGCAAGATGTGTGAAAACGTGGTGAGGTTTTGAGTTGTGGAGGAGGGAAGATTAGGAGGCTCGTGACAAATGACTTCAATCTTATCGGTAAAGAAGAAAATTAGGTCTTCTATTTCTTTACCTGGCAGAATACTAGCAACCTCATTCTTTCAGAATATAGATTGCAGAGTAGAGGCAATAGAGATAGAGACTGGACCTGTGAATTTATTAGTATAGAGAACTCCCAGATGAAAAAAAGCTCTCTACCAGGGCAAACCAGCAGCCAACTAGGAGAACTTATTTTTGTTTAGAGTGTAAACAGAATCTAGTCTAGGTGAATTCCAGCCCCAGAACATCAAGTCTATGCCCTTGCACCCTTCCATTGGAGTCTAGAATAACCCAGCTCAAGAAGGACAAAACCAACCAGAGTGGTCTGGGTAGAGGGATAAGTTTCTTTGTCCAGAATCCTGGAGGCAGCTGAATCTCATGATGAAGCCACGTTCTCAGCAGAGGAGCTGAAGACTTTTAGCCCACTTACTCATTACTATGCCCACCCCTTCATTAACTGTTCATCAGTCAGGATTGATTTTCACCTGTCAGTACTAAGAGACTGTGACTCTCCCAGGGTCACACCACCAGCATGGGTCAGAGAGGAGACTTCTCTGGTCCTCTTGGTTTCAGGGCCAGCTCTCTCTTCATTGTGTCAAGTTGCCTTACAAAAACAAACAAAAAACCCCATTTCCTTTATTCCATGGGAAGGATCCTAGCCCCCTCATTTTGGCTTAAATGAGTAACTTTATTTTATATATATAGTCCTAATATGATTATCTGGTTCCTCAGTCCCACATGAGATTGGTGCATCCTTGGTGGGGATGAGAGAGAAGATACCACTAAAAGCAAGAATGGGGATGGGAGGGAAAAGTGACAGGTGACAATCTGATAAGAAGGAAGGAAACAGCAGAAATATAAAAACCACAACAGTTGGGGGCCTTTTAGTGTGAGGCAAACAGCCCTGTCTATTCCAGCATCCTAAAGGGTATCACTGTATCACTGAAGAGCCCGGTTATGTGTGTTTCTAACAAATGACCCAGAGTGATTAGAAGGTTATATTCTAATCTATATCTTCTGCTTAATCTGACAGATAAGTGTATAGTAAGTACATTTTAGAAAAATTTTCATCCAAATGGTTAAATTTTTGTGCAAAAGTTTAGCATCAGTTATTGGAAAATTCCTTATTCCCCAACAGTCAGAAAAAAAGGCATTCCTGTATTTGGTAAGGAAAGGGTAGCAGGCCACATTCTGTAATGGCAAAAGAGTAAATTGCTTTCTTTGGGGGAAATGCATTAATTCTTCCAGACCAGAAGGTACCAATTAGTTAATTGCCTCTTTCCATAGCTAAGTGGCCCCTTCTGGCCTGAAAAATCAATACACCTCTGCACAGTGTGTCATTTAATTCTCCTTCTGTGGAAAGGTTCAGACAGAGGGAGCAGTGCTGTGTATTCCTTCAGGAAGGGAAAGACATATTGATCTGAGTGGGGATTCTTATTTTAAACTCATTTCTCATTTTAACTGCAATAAGACCCAGAGGGAAACAGAAAGCCAGGTGAAAGCTGCCAGTCTCTTCTCACTCAGTTTAACAACACATAAATGGAAGTACTTGTTACCTTTGCAGCAAAAATCCCTGTATAACATAAAATTGCCCAAGCCCCTGCCTCCTCATTTCAAGCAATAAAATCCTAGCTCAGCAAAAGAACGTGGGCCTGCCCCCTGACATTTATTGCAGCAGGATTGGACATTCTGAGTCAGGGTCCTTAAAGATGCTTCTACTCTGTGCTTTATTTGATGACGTAAAAATTAAGTTTCACAGGAAATGTCAAATAAACTCATTTTTTTTTCCTCTGGGACCATCCCATCTTCTACTTCAGAGCTTCTCAAGCTTTGTTCATCTTGCTTCTTATGGCCACACGCCATAAGGATATTAGGATCATTGCATTATAGATTTGGAGCTGGAAGGGACCTTCCAGGCAATCTCATCTACCTGTCATTTTGCAGATATGATCGCCGAGGCTGACAGGTTAGGAGATTTGCCCAACGTCATAGCTAGTAAGTGGCAGAGCTGAGAAGGTAACTCAAGACAAGATTATAGGATCATGAATCTAGAGATATGGGGGCCTTAGAAGTGGTCTGAACCAACTCTTCCATTATACATTTGAGGAAACCGAAACCCAAAGAAATTAAGCGATTTGCCAAGGTCACACATTTGCATAATTTGAACTTGGGTGCTCTGACTCCAAATCCAGCATTCTTACCACCATACCATTCATTCTCTGTCCCTTCTGCCTTACAGCCATCTATTCATCCACCCCTTTACTCTCCAGCCACATGTTATGTATATAAATACATGGATTCCACCCCTCCCCCCAACACATCTTCCTTCCTGTCTCTACCACAGCCATCATCCCTTTAATCCTCCAGATTAAGAATTGGCAAAGGAGAGTGAGGGGATCCAGTATTTTGCAACAAGTCATAAACATCTTTGTTACCTAACATAAGCCCCAGTGTCCTGTTTAGGAAACGGTGGTTAGCTTGAACCTAAAAAAGTAAAAGTAGGTAGCTTAGTGAATAGAGCACCAGGCCTAGAGTCAGGAAGATTCATCTTCCTGAGTTCAAATCTGGCCTCAGATATTTATTAGCTGTGTGACCCTGGGCACGTCACTTAACCCTGTTTTGCCTCAGTTTCTTCATTTGTAAAATGAAGGAGAAGGAAATGGTAAATCACTCCAGTATCTCCTGCCAAGAAAACCCAAATAGGGTCACGAAGAGACAAGATGTGACTGAAAAAATGACTGGACAGCAATGACAAAAGTAAAAACCACTTTAGGTTTTGTTTGCTTGTGTCCTGCCAAAGGGGATTTTCAATGAATAAAAGTGCTCTTTAATGGAGGATTGAATAGGGGAAGGGGGAAGATGTAGAGATGGCAGTAGGATAAAAAGCACTGCTTAGATTTCTAACTTCACAGAGAGTATTGGGGCCCCAGCTAGGCCAAAGCACAAACAGCGGACCCCAAATGGGTTGCTGAAAACCAGAAGAATGTAAAACTAGATGGGGTTGATTCCACTATCATGTATCATTAATGTTGTTGTTCAGTCACATCCCACTCTTTGTGATCCCGTGTGGGATTTTCTTGATGGAGGTACTGGAGTGGTTTGCCATTTCCTTCTCCAGTGGGTGAAGGCAAACAGAGGTTAAGTGACTTGACCAGGGTAACACAGCTAGTAAGTGTCCGAGGTCGGATTTGAACTCAGGTCTCCCTGACTCCAGGCCCAGCACTCTATCCAAATGAGGGGAAAATGTCTGGCAGAACTCTGGGGGCAGGGAGAATGAGGTACCAGATCTGAGGAAGGGACCAAGCTAGAATGTAGGAACCAGGCTACCAATGATTGACACAAGGAGCATGGAGACAAGCCTAGAGAAATGACCTCAACAGGGGTCATCCAGGAAGCAAGGACACCCTAAGCCCCCTGAAGTGAAGCCGTAATGAAGGAGAAATTGCTATCAGAGTCAGGACTAAAGCAGAATTTCTGTGGACTGGTTTTGAGTTTCTAACATACTTCTTTTGATTAGGTGGGATCACCCTCCCACTCTCTGCATGACCTCAGACAAGTCACTGCCCATCAATGAGCCTTAATTTCTTCATCTGTAAAATGGGGATAATAATAGCACCTACATCCCCAGGTTGTTGTGAGGTTCAAATGAGAAAATAATTGTAAAATGCTTGGCACAGTGCCTGGCATATAGTAAACACTATATAAATGTTGACTATTATTATTCTTGTTATTACTATGATTATTAATTATTCCACAATCCTAAAATGGGAGCTTCTAAAGATTTTTACTTTTTAAAAACTGCTTCATGTATACATACACACAAACATATGCATATTTACATTTGTATACATATGTATATATGCACATACACATGCATATGTCCGTTTGGTATAATAGATAGACAGCAGGTTTAGTGTATTGGAACCAGGAAGACCTGGGCTCATGTCCAGTCTCTGACATATACTGGTTGTATGACCTTAGACAAATCATTTAACCTCTCAATGCCCTACACACTTCTCTAAGGTTATAAGTTACACCGAAGGTGCTGACCTGCATTGGCAGAAAGAGTTTCCTTATTCACTAGTTCCCTATTACTAATGAAATCATAGAACCAATCTCTCTCCCTATATATTTATACCAGCAGCTTGTTCCCTTAAGGATATCACCCCTAACCTGCTTCTTTTCTTTCCTTTCTGCAGATTTGATCACTTGGTGGCTATAGAGCGCTCAGGAAGGGCAGCTGATGGCAATTACTACAATGCTCGAAAAGTTAATATTAAGCATCTAGTTGACCCAATTGATGATCTCTTTCTTGCTGCACAGAAGATCCCTAGAATCTCATCAACTGGTAAGAGAGCATGGAAAACTTGGACTAAGAGGATAGAGGCAAATAGGGGTTAAGTGACTTGCCCAGGATAATATAGTTAGTAAGTGTCTCAGGCTGGATTTGGATTCAGATCTTCCTGACTCTAGTCCTGCTCTGGACTCTAGACCAGTTGTGTGACTCTAGGCAAGTCACTTAACCCAATTGACTAGTCCAAAAAAAAATTGCCCCCTCATTTATCTGGGGAATGGCTGTTATACTTACGTATGTGTATCAATTCTGTAGATAGCTTGGATATCAGACTTTTATCAGAAACCTTTCCTGTAAAGATTTTCCCTAGTCAGTTGTTTCCCATTTAACTACAGTGATTCTGTTAATGCAAAAACTTTCAATTTTATGTAATCAAAATTGTTCATTTTCTCTCCTATGAAACTCTCTATCCCTTCTTTGTCAAGAGGCAAATAGGGATTAAGTGACTTGCCCAGGATCATATAGCTAGTAAGTGTCTCAGGCCAGATTTGGATTCAGATCTTCCTGACTCTAGGCCTGGACTCTATCCACTGCTGGACCAAAATTAGGACTACTCATAATAATTTACTTTTCTATAGATTTATTTACAAAGGGCCAGCTTGTATATCAGGGGTTCTTAATCTTTTTTCTGCCATGGACCCCTCTCAGAAAAATGTTTTTTAAATACATCAATCAAAATACAGAGGATTACCAAGGAAATCAACTATATTTAAATAGTTATCAAAATATATATCTTTTAAAATCAAGTTCATAGATCCCAGGTTAAGAATTCCTGTTATATATTATCTCATTTTATCCTTACGTAACCATGTGAGGTAGGTGGGGCAGGTGTCATTCATCAGTGTGCACATGAGGAGATAGACTCTGAAATGAAGAGTAATTTCCTGAGATTACGCAGCTATTTAGTGTCAGAGCCCAGATTAGAACTGATATCAGGAATCAAATAACTATCAGACGTTACCCCGGGGAGAGGGGGGGGGAAATCTATAAAACTGATCAGTACATTGAAAATATGTGCAATGTACAACATCCATAGACCTCCCGCCTCTGGAGAGGGGTAAATGGGAGTGTCTTCTCCTGCCTCTTCTTTCAGGCCATACTTGTTCTTTGAGATTCTGCAACATTCACTTGGGAATTTTTTTGTGGCTCTTCTTTCCATTTACATTGTAGTAGTCATTGTGCATATTGTTTTCTTGGCTCTGTTTACTTCACCCAGCATCAGTCCATGTAAATCTTTCCATGCTTTTCTGTATTCTGTATATTGTTTGTCACTTAATACAGCACAATAATATAGTTATATTTATGTACCACAGTTTGTTTAAAAAATAAGGAACACCTCATGAATGTGTGTGTGTTATCCTTGCATGGGGCCATGCTAATCTTCCTGTATTCCAATGTTAGTAGATGTGCTTCCAAAGTGAGTATACAACAGAGCCGTCCTTCTAAATGATATCCACAAGCATTCAAAAGAGTTTAATTTAACTATCCACAAAGGAAAACCAAAGAGAAGAAGAATACCTCTTGTTCAGGCTATGATACAGGATTGACTGACATCTAATACTGCTGCTCCATCACTACTCCAGCCAGATTCTGCAGATGGACAATGAGCAGAATTAAATAGGAGAGAGAGGAGAAGACTGGATTGTATTTGGAAAATGATATGATGCTTTGCATGGCTGCAAGCTTCTCTCCTCACCTTAATTCAGCAAACATTTAGTGAGCTATTTTGTTCAAAGGGATATAAACAAACAAAAATAATCCCTGATCGCAAGATGTTGATATCCCACTGGGAGAATAGGACATGTAGATAGATAAGCAAGTACAAAGTATATACAAAATCATGCAATAAAACCCCATCTTTCAAACACCAATATTCCTCTAATGATATTACATGGTTATGAAACATGGAATACCGATCACCAAAGAATAAAACTTCCAGTCATCCAAAAGGCAAGATGGGGTAATTAGGCTAGAGCATATTTTTTTTAAATTTAAAAACTTTACTGATGCCTTTTGGGTTTTATGCCACTGTCATTTCCTGATATACCCATTTGGTGGATTTCTCCTTTGTAACAAGAGAAAATAGTTAAGTAGTTATAATAATAATAATAGCTAGCATTTATATAGAGCTATGCAAAGCCTTTTACATGTTTTAACTCATTTGATCTTTACAAACCCCTGGGAATTAGGTGGTGTTATCATATCCATTTTGTAGATGAGGAAACTGAGGCTGACAGATGTTAAATTATTTGCTTAGGGCAAATTAGTTAAATTTAGTTAATATTAGTAATATTATTACTAATAATAAAATTAGCAAAATAGTTAAATTAGTTGCTTACAAACAACCAGTTTGTATCTGAGGCAGAATTTGAAATCAGTTCTTCCTGACTGTGACTATAACATTCTATCCATTGCCTCAGACATTTACTAGCTGTGTGACCCTGGGCAAGTCACTTAACCTCTGTTTGCCTTAATCCACTGGAGAAGGAAATGGCAAGCCACTCCAGTATCTTTGCCAAGAAAACCCCATGAACAGTATGGTCCACAAGGTGATGAAAAATCGGACACGACTGAATAACAATAGTAACTCGGGTGCTCTGGAAGACAGGATACTTTTGAAAGGGTTAATACAGCTCCCAAAGAGATGCAGTCTCTTAGGGCAATGAGAAAATTAGGCTCATCTTCTTATATTCATTTACAACTCCATCTGAAGACTCCAAAGTATTTCCCAGACTCATTAGTTCTCTCAGCTGCCTCTGAGGTTTCAATGAGACAATTAGGTGCCTCGGAGATGATTAGACAATGACTGCAAATTGCTTATGAAGTTCCCAGAAAGGCTGCTCCAGAAATAGAGGGCAGCATTCTCTTCTCACTCTTGCCTCTTCCTCTCCAGCACCTGGCCTCCTGAGCTGGAGGTCATTTATATTTCCCAGGAGGGGAGGGTTGGATAAGGTGATTGGCACCCAGCAGCCTGGTTAAGTAATCAAGTGTGGCATCGTAGGGGGCAGCTAGGTGGTGCAGTGCTGGGTCTGGAGTTAGAAAGACTCATCTTCCCTAGTTCAAATCTAGTCTTAGATACTAGCTTTGTGATGCTGGGCAAGATACTTAACCCTATTGGCCTCAGTTTCCTCATCTCTAAATTGAGTTGAAGAAGGAAATGGCAAACCACTTCAATATCTTTGCTGAGAAAACCCCAGATAGGGTCACAAAAAGTCAGACATGACTGAAACAACTGAACAAGTGGCATAGTAGGGAGCCCTAAGATTGCATTTAGGAGACCTGGGTCAGAATTCTTTGATTATTAGACATGTGACCTTGGACAAGTCATATAACTTCTCTGAGGCTGAGTTTCCACATCTATAAGAAGAAAGAGGCAGCATAGTATAGTATATTTGAGAGGTTCACAAACCCCTTGGGGGTCCATGACAATGATCCAAGGCTAACAATTCCTTAATCATGCCTTAGTAATGAATGTAGATGAATGCAGAAATTACAAGTAACACCTTGAATTATCTTTAATTTAATTATTTAATTAAATTAACATTAAATTAGCCCATTTTGTTGTTGTCATTAAAAGGGTTTCACAGAACAAAAAGCATTGAGAATAGCAAAAAGAGCCCTAGACTTGGGAGTCCAGAAGACCTGGGTTCAAGTCCTTCCTTTGACTTTTATTAGTTTTGTGACCTTAGTTTCCTTATGTGTAAAATGGAGAAAATAATAGTGCTTGGCAGATGATATAATGTATGAGAAGCACTTTATGAACTTTAAAGTATTACGGAAATATCGGCTTTTGTTAAAATGGAGTTATTTAGTTTTCAGGGTTATAGTGAGGAAAGTACTTTATAAAATATTATGAAAACATGAGTTATTATTATTATTTCTGTGATCCCCAATGCACTAGTCAGGGGTTCTTAGCTTGGGGTCCACAGACCCCAAAAGGGCTTTCAAAGGGTCTGTAAATTTGGATGAGAAAAATAATATTTATTTTGACTAAGCTCTAACTGAAATTTAACATTTTTTTAAATTATCAAAATATTGTTCTGAGAAAAGGTCCTTAGGTTTAACTAGACTCCCAGAGGATCCATGACCAAGAAAAAGTTAATAACCTCTGCAGTGGAGGTAGATACTGTGGGGAAATTCTTAGTATCTCCTCTTGAGGAGTTAAGCTTTCTGAGGTTGCTGGTGATATGCACAAAAACTCATCTAGTTAAGTAGCATTAAGAGCACTAGTTTGGAAGACAGGAAAGCTAGACTTTAGTGGTGGCTCTGTTATTGAATTACTGTATGACTGAGCAACTCACTCCTCCCTGTTTGAACCTTATTTCCTCATCTATAAAAATGAGGGGAGTAGGATTGTATGATTAGAACAATATCTTCAATTTTTCCTTCTAATGTTCCATGACTCTAATCAAGGAGCCCTTTCCATATGTCTTTCACTACCTGATGCTCCCTTTACCTCAGGCTCCCAGTCCCTAAATATTAGCTGTGCAGCATTTAGTAAAGGTGTAACCAGTGGCCCAGTGCCTCAAAATCTGGGCCTATTCACAGTGAATGACACCCCCCCCCCCCCAATATTACTCTCTATGGCTCATTATTTCCCAACCCAGAGTTTGCTCTGGGAAGTCTCTAAATATAATTCCCATCTGGTCTCAATAGATTTGAGTTACAGAGTCCTGAAATCCCTATATAAGCACTCAAAGTAATAAAGCAAATGTTAGGTGAGTACGGGACAGACTTAATTCCAACTTACCAAAAATGTAGCCATTACAAAGGGCTCATCAGGAGCCTACAAGCAATGAAGACACTTAAAGGACTCACAAATTCCCATAAACGGATCAGTATAATTTTCTTCCCTTGCTGGTGTGAGTCTTACTTTTCCCTGGGGTCCAGAAGTCTGATACTGCCTTGTAGTTTGGTCTCCCCTGTGTAAGTGAACCAGACTTGGGGTTGCCAGTTGAGTAATACCTAACACCTCATTACTTCCATGTTCCACAGTAATGATGCAAGTCCCCTCCCTAACCAATTCGTAGCACCTGACTATAACTTGGACATCCTCTCTGACACTCCAGAAGGAAAAGAACTTGGTCTGCTAGACAAGTAACATTCTGACATTCTAGTAAAGTTCGCTTTCATGCCACAGAGACCCACACAAACATTTAGTACTACTATGAGGGAGATGTGTAGGGCATTCAGGGATGACTAGCACTTCTGAGGTGAGGGCTTGCTGGACCATTTTCAGGGCTGCTCATCCACCTTTGGTGTTCACTTTCACCCAGTTCTCACCTGTGGCTCCAAGAAGCTATAGCATGCACAGAGGCCCCACCCTGGTAAAACCTTCTTGACAGACAGGCTAAACCATGTTGAGGGTAACTAAAAGGCCTCAAACCTCTTGGTGAGTTAGGGAGATGTCTAACCCCAAGCACATGAAGACTTCTCCCAGTGGAATGGTGGATGAAAACAGTTTGTTCCAGTGGCCATGAAGGTGGCTGGCACAGGTGCTGTGGAGTGCTTAGAGCTTGGTCAAACATCAAAGATGCCAAAGTCATCCACTATATCCTGGGCCATTGCCAGCTGTCTTGACTTTTGTCTTGCCACTAGACTTCAATGACTCTGGAAGAGACAGTGGGAGGCTGATGACTCTGTGCAACTCTGCCTCATTTAAATCCAAATCATGAGCAATTCAAAACATCACCCTGTGATGTCATTGATCTTCTTTGAAAACAATGGTATAAATAACAACTCAACAAATGTGATTCATTATTATTACTGTTATTATAGCATCCTACCCAGTCCTTCCCTCCATGCTACAAAATGATTCTTCCTTCTTCTACCTCATCAGAATCCCCATCTCCTCAGGGTCCTCTCAACTTGGTTTCAGAGAAAAGATGGACTGATTAAAATCATTCACACCAAATTATGATGAACTAATGCCAATACCCCTCCATCTTTCCACTGCCAGAAGAGTTGGAGTGGCAGTTTCTTTTTTTTTCCCCTAATTTATTGTTTATTTATTTTTAACATTCTTTTTTTTTTCATTGAGTTCCAAGTTCTTTCCCTTCCTTCCATCCCTGTCTCTACCTACTGAGAAGGCAAACAATATAATAACAATTGTACATGTGAAATCATGCAAAATATATTTCCATATTAGCCATGTTTTTTTAAAATCCAGAAAAATAAAGCAAGAAAATTATACTCCAATTTGCACTCAGAGTTCTTCAGTTCTGTCTCTGGAAGTGGATAGCATTTTTCATCATGAATCCTTTGTAATTTTCCTGGATCATTGTATTGATCATAGTAGTCAAGTCTTTCAACAGTTGATCATCATTACAACATTGCTGTTGTACACAATGTTGTGTACAATGTGCACAATGATCTCCCGGTTCTTCTCACTTCACTTTGTATCAGTTCATATAAGTCTTGCCATATATTTCTAAAACCACCCCCCCTCATCATTTCTCATAACACAATAGTACTCCCATCACATTCATATGCCACAACTTGTTTGACAGTTCTCCAAATGATGAGCATCCCCTCAGTTTCTAATCCTTTGCCATTACAAAAAGAGTTGCTGTAAATATTTTTGTACATAAAGGTCTGTTTCCTTTTTCTTTGATGTCTTTGGGATACAGACCTAGTAGTGGTATTGCTGGGCCAAAGGGTATGCACAGTTACACAGTCCTTTGATCCTAGTTCCAAATTGTTCTCCAGGGTGGTTGGACCAGTTCACAACTGTATCAGCAATTCATTAGTGTGTTGTGCCGGCCGCGCCGTGCACTCTCCTCCTATAAGGAGCAGGCTGCCAGAGTCATACTTACCAGTCTTCAGAGCCTACCAGGATAAACACACAGAGATGAGCCGACCAGGAGGTGCCAACACCCGAGCTTTATTCAGAGGCCATCACAGCAAGGCCAAGCAGGAAGGCCAGAGCAACAGAGCAGGAGCAAAGAGAGAGCGAGCTCCCGACTGTGACCGTTCCTTAAGTACCTACTTAGCCCCTCCTCCTCAGCCCGCCTACTAGTCAATGATTGTAGGGTCAGATACCAGAAGGGGATGTCTGGGTTTAGCGCACCAAGGGAGAGGAAGTGACGCAGGAGGCTAGGACTGGATACAGGAAGGAGGCGTCTGGGATTAGTGCATAGACAAAGAGAGAGTACGTGACCTAGGAAGTCAGGCCCAGATACTGGGAGGAGGCGTCTGGGGTCAGTGCTACACAAAGGGAAAGTACATGACCCAGGAAGTCAGGAAGGACACAGGAAGGAGGTGTCTGGGGTTGACGTTGCACTTAGGGAGGGGACTAAGCAAAGGGAACTCGTCCTCTGCCGTCCCACTCCCATGTGGCACATCCCCCTGCCTCAGGAGCACGTGCTCCGGCTACTTCCTTGTATTCTGTTCCTTCCCCAGCTTATCACAGCTCCACATAGCACTGCCCACTGCCTCAGGAGCATGAGCTCCGGTTACTTCTCCGTATCCAGTTCACCACAACTCCGCCTAGCACAGCCCCTGCCTCGGGAGCGTGAGCTCCGGTTACTTCCTAATATCTTGTTCCTACCCCATCTTGCCACAACTTGCACTTGGCAGTAGCCAACATCAGACAGTCCCTCGCAGTGTGTACTTATTTTTCCCTCATCACGTCTAGCATTTGTTGTCTCTGATAGGTGTGAGGTGGTACCTCAGAGTTGTTTTAATTTGCCTTTCTCTAATCAGTAGTGATTTAAAACTTTTTTTTCATAAGACTATAGATAGCATTGATTCCTTCTTCTGAAAACTGCCTGTTTATATTCTTTGATTGTTTATCAATTGGGGAATGGCTCTTATTTTTATAAATTTGACTCAGTTCTATACTCAGTGTATATTTGAGAAATGAGGTCTTTATCGGAGAAAATTTATTTTGATGTTACTTCACTGTCTATAGTACCTTTTAGCAAAATGTAGTTTCTCTGGTTGTCTTTTAATTAGGTCTATTTTTGCTTTGTCTAAGATCACGATTACTACCCCTGCCTTTTTAACTTTAGCTGAAGCTTATTAGATTCTACTCCAACCCTTTATTTAAACTCTGTGTGTGTGTGTGTGTGTGTGTGTGTGTGTTTCTGTTTGAAGTGTGTCTCTTATAAACAATATATTGTTGTATTCTGGTTTCTAATCCATTCTGCTATCTGCTTCTGTTTTATGGGTGAATTCAACTCATTCACCTTCACGGTTATGATTACTAACTGTATACTTCCCTCTGTCCCATTTTCTTCTGTTTTTTCTTCTCCCTCTCTTCTTATCCTGTTCCTCCTCAAAAGTCTATTTTGCTTCTAACCACTGACTCCCCTAATTTGTCCTCTCTTTTATCACTGCCACCCCCCTTCTCTTATCTTCTTCCTTTTCTACTTCCCTATTGTGTAAGATAAATTGCTATACACAGCCGAGTGTGTGTGTGTATGTGTATATGTACACACACACACACACACACACACACACACACACACACACACACACACAC